TCATCCGGACGCAGATGGACTCCCTGTCTATTAAGTAAGATAGACACCCTGTCCATAAGCAAGGCTCGCTAGCGGACACACTCGTCCATTGGCTGGCTACATATTCATGGGCGAGTCCAATAATGAAAGCTGATCGTGGTTGTCATCTCCGTGGTTTTGCGGAAAGATGCTGAGCTCCGAATCCAACGGCACCGGGTACGAGTCCCAAAGCGGGCGCATTGCTTGGCTCAACTGAAATGGGAAGCTCAGCTGGTAGTTTGCCAAGGGTCGACTCAGACCCGGGACGGCCGTGCCGTAGCATTGTATGGTACGTATCCCCTCCCCCCGCAGTCCTGTCCGGCGAAACCGAAACCGGGCATAAAGTCAGTGTATAAATTCTATGCACCACCTTGAATTTTTAAAAGTCAAAGTCATATGTAATTGGGACGTGGCACTGAAGTCCGATGGCTGAGCACATAATGACTCACGATCCATTACAACCTCTGGGCCCCTTGGCTTTTAGGTTAGGCATACAGCATTCAAACCGCACACGGGAAATTTATTTTGTGCACATACGTTATCTGTATTGTTTAAAGGGCATTAAACTAATAAATTGCAACAAACGTGTTGATCAGAAGGTGAGAAGGTGAGGAAGACTGAAAGGTAAGGCTATTTCAGTTTGTTCGCATTGGAATGTGAAGTCACAATTTGTCCGTCTTGAAATGTGAACGCATTTCAGCTTACTTGTAGATTTATAGAGACCATTATAAGACATTTGTAACTAAGTCTAACCCCAAATTAAATTATATCGATGTGCACTCCATACACATTCACACGACAGTCATCATAATCCTTTTCCCCGCCGGTCAACTTCTGCCTGTTGTCCATATTGTAGTCACGAGGCACGACGTCGCTTCCCTCACATTTCGTCACGGCTTCGATGTGGGTGTATCGAACAACGTGTCCATTCATCGCCTTATCAGGCCGCTCAATCAAAATGTCCAGCAAGCTGTGACTTTGCACGGGATAAGTCAGCCAGCCAGCCACACTCTTTCCCAAGGAAACCTGTGACTTCGAGCTTGCCCGTCGTCGCTGTCATGTCGCTCGCTCCCAGAGCAGCCCTGGCATCTTACGATGGCCTGCTCGCTCCCAGAACAGCCCTGGCATCTTACGATGGCCTGCTCGCTCCCAGAGCAGCCCTGGCATTTTGCGATGGCCTGCTCGCTCCCAGAGCAGCCCTGGCACCTTACGATGGCCTGCTCGCTCCCAGAGCAGCCCTGGCATCTTACGATGGCCTGCTCGCTCCCAGAGCAGCCCTGGCATCCCACGATGGCCTTCTCGTTCCCAGATCAGTTCTGGCATCTTCGGGGGCCCCACTTCATCGTCAATCTTGCGGACCCTATGGAGTTCATACCGGTTTTCTAAAAAAAGCTATTCAATGCGTTTATGCCAGTGTCAGTTTTGGGACTACATCCGGAACCAGTACACAGGCCGTTCATGTCAACTGCTTGTTTCAGCCCATTGCAATAGGGCATGGCCGCTCTAAGACGTTGATCAGGATGATGTGCACGGATGATTTGGAATTAAAAAAATGAATAGGTGGGAGACCAAAAGCAGCTCTGTGAACTCGGAACTCTTTGGAGACAAAACATATTGTTGTTCATATTGCTGTTCTCTTTTTAGACAACACCCTTGTTAAATGCAGATTTTGTATCAGCTCGACAATCACTCAAGTCACTTCGAAAGACCACTTGTGAACTGCGAAAAAGGGCTCTCCAGCTGTGAGACGCTCTTTTAGACCAAGGCGATGTTGAGACCCTTACTCGAGCCATCAGCCGCGCAGCCGTCAAAGCCGATCACTAACTGGCTGTTGCGATAAGTAACTGTGGTAGTAAAACTGCTGAACAATGTTATAGGCATATTCCAAGGACTCAGTAACGCGGCCGGAGCGCCGTAAATGTTACAAATGTAATAAACTTGAATTTATTGATATCCATACGTTAGAAACAGATAAGCCTGGTCTGACCCCATCGCTACCGTTTTCATATACATGACGCCAAGGTCATAGCAGGCTTTAGGTAATTGCAAGGGGATTCGGCCCGTTTCCATGAAAACGGTCCCGGGTCAGCTGATGATCGCTCCTCCGCTCCAAAGATATTTGAGAAGGAGCCGCGGAGCAAATGCAGCATTGAGTAATGCAGTACTGAGTTGCCTTGGATAATTGGGTTAATAGAAACAATGGAGCAAGGCAACAAACACTCCTAGAGAATATGACATTTTTCAGCGCAGCTGATTTTTGTGAAAGAGTTTTAATTTCGGACAAAAGTGATGAAAAATGAAAAAATGATTGCTTGACCCAAATTAGGTCAGCAGTACATTCCTGCAAACGAAGAGAACGCATTGATGGCCACGAGACGAAGGCAATGAACTGCGATGCATCAACAGCAGCGAACCAGAGGCGGTGGACGAATGTCATGCAGTCATTTTTGTCCTGCTTTAGTATACTTTTTAACCATAGTGTCTACGCAAGAATGCGGAATGTAGAACAACCTGCTTGCTCGCTCATACTATCGACTAAGCCAGCCTAGTGCCTCGGGCCGACGAGCTCTTGGTCGCATATCCTTATTCTTAACCCCAACTTACACATCCCTTATTCCCACCTTATTTTCCCGAACCGTTCCTTACCGTCCCCTTTGTCCTCCCGCATAGCCTGGTTATCACGTCGGGTAAATACGGGCCAAGGAAATGCTTGGAGGCGCCGATTGCCGATGGAAATCCGTAAACCAAAGCAAATACAAGTACAAAGGTTCTGGGACGACTGGCGGTGGTTTCTGAGCAGGGATCTCGTGGCAGTGCCGGCTTGTGCCGCTTGTAAATATCAAAGTGTCCAGAAAGCAGCCTACTTGAGGTGAGGCTCGGAAAAAAACTTTTGCGGTTTTCGTAGATTAAGTCATAGTGGCCTGAGGTCACCAGTTTCAAAACGGCTAATGAAACCATATTCTCGCCCTTGACTGGAATTAATCTGGATAGAATTGGCGCAGAGAATCGTGAGTTTTCATTCGGCTGCCTGGCTGATGGCGGCGAAGCAGCGTGGTGTCTCAAAAAGGGAGCCCCTTAGTTTTAGTTGTGCAGTCCCTTAGTAGTGCGAGATTTATCCGTCCAGATGTCGGACGGCACCAGAACGACCATGACCAAAAACACACGGTCGCCTGCCGTATTTGACGACACGCCACCCGCTTACGTTCACAAGGTGTTCTGGCGGGGAAAATTTAACATGATGAACATAAATGTTTACCAGGGTATATTGTTGTTGCGGTATACATTCAACGCACATGATAATCAACATATTGCATTAAATGAAAGTTATCGCTGGTATATGACAAGACACAAAATGCTTACTATCAATTTACATCAAACCTTTATTATCGGTAGTCAGCTCGGTATATTGAACGCGTATCATTTTGAACATATAAACATTTTATTACCATCTTTTATAGAACAGATCTGTAATAGCGCTTCCCAAAAGTTTTTCGAAACCCATGGGACACCAGAACCTTGGAAATGCTGCACTTCTGCAGCTTCTGCTTCGGCTCACCGTGCTGTAGCGCTATCGTTAAGGTGTAGAAGTGTTGCTGGCGGTGTAGAGGCCTCCCCTCGCAAACGGTTAATGATAAAACCAAAACTTTGCCCGAATATTGCATCATATAGAGCGGAAATGTGTCAAAAGGAGACATACATATGACTCAGGATATTCCGAACCATTTTAAGGAAGGCATAATTGTCAGGTGGACATCTTTACGACAAAAACTAGACCGATCACAATATTTATTTCACAGGTTTGAATGACTCCTATCTACATTCCTTGAATTCTCGGGCAATCTGATGTGCAGTGCTTATCTCTATCAGTTTGCCGTTCGTGCCTGTCGAGTGAACGAACCAGTTCACTGGCAAATAAATGGGCACATGCCCCACATCGCCGGGCTACCGTTGCTGCTCCCTCTCTCCCTGTTGCCTAATTCTAACACGATACCCGATATGACAACATTACCAAGTTTCACTGTTTTGCATCGCAGTTCTTTGCAAACAGTTTCTTGTTTGCTGTTGTTAACAGGATAGGCAGGCACCAGTCCCGGCAACCTTGCCACAGTCACTTCAGACATAACCCTACAGAAATTGCCCGTCTCGATATCCAAGAAAGCACGGCACAACAACGAACCGCGGCGGTGTGCTTTTACACCTGTGCGTACCAGCTGTGGTGAAACGTCCGTTTTGGCTGCCATCCATCGCGGCCGTACAATACATGTCGGGGTGTCACCGACGTGGGTCCGCCGCCCCAGCTGCCCCAGCCGCCCCAGCCGAGCCAGCGGCCGGCAGCCGAGCGCCGAGGCGGGCTTCCGGTCGGCCCGCACGTCCGCGCCGGGCGCGCGGCGCCGCTTTTTGTTCTCGGCCCGGACGTGGTCTGAACGCGAAGTCGGTCACATCTCCGGCGCGTGGACCGTCGGTGGATGACCCCCGGTCGCTCGGGAGACGGCCGGGCGCTGCAGCCACTGCCACGGCGCCGATCGGCACGCTCCATCGCCGCTGGCATGACCACCCCTGCGAGCAATCCCCCACGCGAAGCCAATTGTCGCTCGGTGGGTCTCATACCCCGCAAAGCTCTGTCAGTGAGTGTACCGGCGGCCAGAGGCTGTACTCGTCGGCGGCCAGCGGGCGGCGCTCGGTGCCAGCTGGCGGCCGCGCGGGCCGCAGTATCAGCTGGGAGCGCCAGGGGAGGGTCGCGCAGCGTCGTCCCGCGGTTCGCGCGCAGCTGTCTGCGCGAGCCAGGCCCGGCCGTGAGCTGCGTCACACGTGCAGTGCGGTGCCCGTACGCGGCGCGCGGGCGGCTGCCGCGTCACTCGGCGCGACGCGCTCCAGCGGCGGCCACGGGGTGCGCGCTGCTCACCGCCGGCGGCGCGCGGCGGCATGGGTCTGCCGGAGCTCAAGAGCATCAGGAAGTTCGGCCTGGGACGGCGCAGCCTCAAGGAGCCGGAGAGGAGGTGAGACCGGTGGCGGACGGCGCTTCGTCTGGCCGCGCCTGCCGTCCCGCTCGGCCCGTCCGCGCCGGGTTGCGTCGGCCGGCGTCGAGACTTCGCTGCCGAGGAACCGTTAGTCGTCAGTGATACGGGTGAGGGTAGACCGTTCGGTGCTCGATGGGGTGGGAGTGTCCTGGGTGCAATGGAGACGCGGGTGCGTCGGATTTGTCGTCCCTCGGGTAGTGAACCTTTGCGTGTTTCCAAGTTCTGCCACCCGCACGTGTATCGATCGCAGATGCTGATGGCTGAGTGAGCGAGCGCGCTTCCTCGTACCGCTATCATGTCGCGCGGACATGCCCGGGCAGGGCTGGCGCGCGGGTGGAGAATCTCTGCGGAAACGGACTTCCGAACGGATGGAACATAGCCGCCAGGGCCTACGGTACCGGATGGCTTGCCGTTGGAGCTTATCATTGGTGCAACGGTGATGCCTGAAAGGGAAGAGGCTTCAAAAGGGCTTCGGTTCTTTCACTTTCGGGGGCTCACATACCTCGGGATATTCAAGCGTATTATCCACTGCACTCGCATCGATGGGCTGCAGTCGCGTCGTACTGCGTCGCTGGGTCTCCGGCACTGGACTGCGCTCACATCGATGGGCTGCAGTCGCGTCGTACTGCGTCGCTGGGTCTCCAGCACTGGACTGCACTCACATCGATGGGCTACAGTCGCGTCGTACTGCGTCGCTGGGTCTCCAGCACTGGACTGCACTCACATCGATGGGCTGCAGTCGCGTCGTACTGCGTCGCTGGGTCTCCAGCACTGGACCGCGCTCGCATTGATGGGCTACAGTCGCGTCGTACCGCGTCGCTGGGCTTCCAGCACTGGCAAGCCTGTACGCCGCCGCCCGGGTGGTCCCTATTATAGGGACTGCTCCACATTTGTATGAGGTTTAGGACTGGGATAGCCAGTTTGATCAACTTTCCGTGAAACTCACCACCATGTCTTTTATGAGGCCCTGTAGTTTTTGAGTTGGATGCAAGGGAAATTGTGCAGAGTATTGGGCGCGGCCTATCTGAAGGTCACCCAGAAATGGATGACAGCGTAGAAGTGTCGGGCAAGTACCACACCTCATGATCTGATACATGCCCATGGCCAAGAAAAGCATGGTCTCCTTTGCGGTCGCATTGCGCTGATGCTGCATTGATGTCTCAACCACAGAAGCCAATTGGCTGATAGTCCGGTGTTGCTACTGACTGCGTCTCACGTGATTTCAGATCTCACGTGGCATTGAGTATGCTGCAAAAGGCACAAACACTAGGTCTTCGAGCATATCTGAAATCCACCAAAAGAACCGTACAAACTGGCATCAGTGTGTAATTGCGGCATCGTCCTGTTCAATCGTAGGTGTAAGATGCAAGATGCCAGTGGTCATTCAACCCAGCCCACACTTTTGACAAAAAGGAGCGTGATTGGTTTAGCGGCCCATGGCAACATGTCCGCCTTCGCGCACTCTGCTCCCTCAGTATGCTCACGATCTCCTTCAAACTATGCCTTGGTCGTGAGGATCCAAAGGCTGGTTCTTCGACGGCTTGTCCACATACTTCAGGTAGCTTTGATAGAACAGCTTTCCGTGAGGCAACCAAATGATGGCATTACCAGTCCTCTATTTGTTCGATAGAACAGTTTTCCGTGAGGCAACCAAACGATGGCATTACCAGTCCTCTGATTTGTTTGATAGAGCAGTTTTCCGTGAAGCAATCAAACTATGGCATTACCAGTCCTCTGATTTGTTTGATAGAGCAGTTTTCCGTGAAGCAATCAAACTATGGCATTACCAGTCCTCTGATTTGTTTGATAGAACAGTTTTCCGTGAGGCGACCAAACGATGACGTTACCAGTCCTCTGGTTTGTTTTTAAAGAAGTTCAGTATTTAGAATAGTTTTTGACATTCCAAACTAACTGAATCACGGCAAGTGAAGTTTTTCTGCCAGATTACATGCCTTGACCCGACACCTCTCAATGTTAAATGGTACTTTTGACTGTACCATGCGACCGGCCGTCGCCGGCGTACTTCCGTCCCGGCACGGCCACGAGACCGGACGGGGGCGTCCCGGCACGGTCACGAGATCGGACGGGGGCGTCCCGGCGCGGTCATGAGGACCGGACGAGGGCGTCCCGGCACGGCCACAGGACCGGACGGGGGCGTCCCGGCACGGCCACGAGACCGGACGAGGGCGTCCCGGCGCGGTCACGAGACCGAACGAGGGCGTCCCGGCACGGTCACGAGACCAAAAAAGGGTGCCCGGCATCCCGGGCACGGCCCATACCGGAAGAGGGCTCCCGGCACAGCCACAGACCGTACGAGGCGTCCCGCCCACAGCCACAGGACCGACAGTAGGGCGTCCCGGCACGGCCACAGGACCGGACGAGGGCGTCCCGGCACGGCCACAGGATCGGACGAGGGCGTCCCGGCACGGCCACAGGACCGGACGAGGGCGTCCCGGCACGGCCACAGGACCGGACGGGGGCGCCCCGGCACGGCCACAGGACCGGACGGGGGCGCCCCGGCACGGCCACAGGACCGGACGGGGGCGGCCGCCCGCCGCGTCGCCTTTGTCGCCGGGCTGCAGCTGACAAAGCCGGTGACCCGCGGGGTCAGCGCGCGCGCCGATCACAGCCCGATGACCTCGGGCTGTCTCCGGGCCATTAGGCGCCAGACGGGGGACCCGTGGGCGACACCGGGCCGACGGCGGCTTGGCTGGAGATGACAGCGAGCCGGTGAATGTTGTGAGCTCGTGAGACGTGTGTGTCCGCGGGGGTTTGTCGGCATTTGTCCTGCGTTCAGACCACCTGGGAGTCTGAGGTGGTGGATCGGCATTTCAAGGGCGCCAAACAGTCTAGGGGCTCCGGTACAACCAGGGGGATGAGAAACGGACCTGTGCCCCCTTTTACGTTGAGGAGCCCAAAACGGTACAGGGACACGGAGACAGTCAAGAGGACCCCTTGACGATCAATAGATAAGATGGTTGATGGTGGCGAAGACCGCTCTGGACACCGAAGGGGCCCACCGACGGAATCATCAAGCCTGAATGCGGATGGGTCCCTGGACACTAAAGGGCTCTTAGAGGTGAGGGCCAAGGGATGGACGGTCAAGGGATCTGAGGCCAACGCATCCGAAGCAGTCAAACAGCCCCGAGATGGCGAGGAGACGCCAGCGAGTGAGATGGCCGACAGACGCCGGCGAGTGAGATGGCCAGGAGACACCGGCGAGTGAGATGGCCAGGAGACACCGGCGAGTGAGATGGCCGACAGACGCAGAAGCGACGGCTTAACTCCCAAACGCGGCAGCAGCAGAAGTGACTCGAAGGATCCCTGACGATCAAGGGGCACAACACGATCACGAGTCCCCATGACGATCAGGAATCAAGAGACGGCCAAAGACCCCGCCATTATCAAGGTCGCTTGGGATGGCCAAGGTGCATTGCGACGACCAGGGCGCATTGCGACGGAAGAATCTCAGAACGCTTGAATAGCCCATCATCGGTGGACGTCCGCGCGTTGTTGCCAGACCCTACACAAGCCATGCTCAGTAGAACATATGGCCCGTGTAGCAATGTCCAGGCCATATATAGACCGAATTTAGACAAGCACAAACCATGCGGCAACCATGCCTGAACTCAACGGCGTTGGAGCTTCTGGAACATCTCGAAACTTGGACGGTGCGTAGTCCTCAAATTGACTGGGTAGACCAAACGCATCATACTGAGTCTATCATGCAAGGTTAAGGTGGACCAGAGACGGCCATTTAGGATTGCTATTGACATGCTGCTGAAACTAAGTCGTTCGTCTTGATGTCAGCTTAAATGTGATACCTTGCTCGTCTCTAGGAGTAATTGCATATTTACCGAGTGGCTACATGCCATTTTCAACGATAGGAGCCGATGAACTTAACATGCCTGTTTACTTAGGTGGCGTAATCTGCGCCTTGTCATGCACTGGTTGCACAAACTCCGTTTGGGGCGGGCGAAGATATGGCGCTATGGTAAGCGGGCCGTTATGAGCAGGAAATGTGATCCTTGAAGGCCTGCATCTGAGACGCCCGGCTGAGACGCTCTCCAGGATTGCCATGCGGCGTGACCGGTCGTCTGGAGTACATCTGGCGCTATGAGGTCACCACCCGGCGCCGGGCCGGGCCGGGTTCGCTGCCGATCTCGGCGGCTGGGCGGAAGCAGCGCCCCTGGCGGGGGCCCCCGCAGCTGCGGCCGTCAGAGGCCCGCCGCCGCCGCCGCCGCCGCCGCGTCTGCGACGCCGCCGCCGGCCACTGCGGTACACAAGGCCGGTCGCCGCGGCGCAGGACACGGACAATTCGCCGCACTTGGTCGGCAGACTGTGTGATCGTCGCACAAGCGCTGGTATGGCAGGGCGTGGCTGGCAGACGGCAGGGCGGCGCAGGACACGGACAATTCGCCGCACTTGGTCGGCAGACTGTGCGATCGTCGCACAAGCGCTGGTGTGGCAGGGCGTGGCTGGCAGACGGCAGGGCGGCGCGAGGAATGAGCGTCGGCGGTCTGCCCTGGTCACAACGGTCCAGTGGGGCGACAGAACGCCGGCGCTGCGGCTCGGATGGCTGCGGCCCGGGGCGGCGCCGGCGCTTGCAGACAGCGCGGTTTGCGGGGACGAATGGTGGTGCCGCTCTGGCTCGGCCAGCTGCAGCGCGTGCACATTGTACACCTCTGCAGGTCTGCAGAAGCCGAGCCGCAGCATCGGTCATCCCCGACCTGCCAGTCCCGGCCTTCCTTCCGCCTTCATAGAGCGGCACAGCGGAATGGGGAGGAAATCACATATACGTGGAGAGGAGGGAAAGAGAGTAGAATAGAGCGAGAGAGAGAGGGAGAGAGAGGGAGAGGAGGGGGAGAAGGAGGATGGCATGCGCACGGGGAAAGGAGAATAAGACAATGTGTGGTGAGGAATAGCATATCCCAGGAGATGAGAGCGAATCATGTTTTTACTTTTGGCTTCACGCAACG